CCCTGTGATATGTGGCTCAATGACTCAGCTCACTCTCTGATCCTCCCACGCCTCCTACGTTGCTGCTCACATTTCTCCCTACGACGCTGCTTGGGGTCGAGCCAATACTCCTCCTCTTCACTCCCTGTCAGGGGCTGCTCCGACATGCCTTCCTCCTGATTCATCTCAGGCTGTTCCTCTCGGTTGTCTAATGGAACCTGAGGCATTACCAGGGAGGAAGGTCCTGGGGAGGAAGGTCCTGGAGAGGAAGGCATTCCCAGTTCCTCCCCCTCATCTTCCAGGTCCTCTTCCTCTGACAGCATAGGCTCGGGAATCAGGGCCACAGCACATATGCATGATATAGAATAGCTATTCACAAAGATACATTGTTCACCATAAGCAGGCAAGGCAGAAACAAAACTCTACGGGTATATATTCTGTTTGGTTATGCATATAATTGTTCTGATTTCAGCCACAGAGTAAAAGTGCTTGGGAGAAAGATAAATGGTAAAAGGGAAAAATATTTTGGAAGAATGATGGGTACATGGTTTGAAATTCAGGCTGTGTGCTTGCTGGCTATACTATGATCTTCAGTGAGAATGTTGTCTCTGTTTAATGACCAATAGAAGACTCAGAAAACTAACAAAATAAATAAATAGCTGTAGAAGGAAAACCTGGCAATGAGTTTATGAGGAAAACTACCGTTGTCATATAAGTTAGAAATGTTTATTATATTTTGTAGTTACAGAGAGTCCTTGAGTTATAAATGTCATGGACCCTGACCATTCAATTTGTAACCTAAGGATTCATGGGAGTGAATCTCGCACAATGAACGTGATCACTCCTTCCTTTTGCCCTCACATTTGCTAATTGAATTCACAGATCGTTAAGTGAACATGATGTATCTCCAGATGGGAAAAGCCATGGGGGGGAGTCTAGTAATGGAACAGGCCACCTACTTCAGGCCACTCAAGGCTTCCCCAACCCACAGATACCTTATTTTCCTTTCTTTGGGGTCCCTGCAATTGCTTCCTCTATCATCCTGCCTGGTGACTTACCTTATGAAGATCTGCCTCCTCTCCAACCTGTTTCTTTGTTTGCTTCCTCCTTTCTCTTCAGCAAAGGGCTTGAAGAAGATTTAATTGATGAAAAGGAGTCATGGAAGGCCACATGTGGCCTTCCAGGCCTCCTTATCTGTCTCCAGAGCACTTTTCAAGCCATTTGGCAGTGAAAAATGCAGACCCGAAGTGTGTGCAAATGTCTTGAAGAAGGCTTCGGTGATAAAAAAAGAGGCAGGGAAAGCCGCATCCAGACCTTCTTTCTTGCCACTAGAGCAGGAAGTCTATGTGAATGGCTTGAAAAGGACTTTGGGGGTAAGAAAGGAGCTTTCTTTTTATCACTGAAGTCTTCTTCAAGCTGTTCAAGTGCACTTCTGGTTCACATTTTTCACCATTGAACAGCTTGATGAAGGTTCTGGAGACAGAAAAAGGATGCCTGGAGTGCTGCACGCAGCCTTCCATGCCTTCTTTTCATTGTCAAAGCATTCTTCAAGACATTCACATGCACTTCAGTCCGCCAAACTATTTGACGGGGGAATAGGTGGGGTGAATGTTTAGTACCATATTTTCCTCAAAATAAGGTCTAACTGGAAAATAAGCCCTAATGTGTCTTTTGGAGCAAAAAGACCTGGTCTTATTTTCGGGGAAGCATGGTATTGAACCAATGCTGTAAGCAGTTCTATTTGCATCTAGTCAAATCCTGATTTTTATGGTTTTGTATAGTGCTACCATAATGAAGTAGACAAGTCTGGCTTATTCTGAAATATTAGTTTTAATGTCTTGACTGATTACTATTGAGGCAAAGCCTAATTTAGCAACATCATACATGGAGTAATTTGGGAATATGGTTTAATCATAATCAAATCAAAAGGAAAAGAGCTTTTGTGTTTATGGTGTCCTCTAAAAACAGATGGATATATATCTCTGTGTGCTCTTTATTACAGAAATAACTATTACTATAGAATGAGATTTTCATAATAAGAACATCTGGAAATTAAATGGATTATTTTGGGTGACATTCAACTTTGTGATTTCTTATAACTCCAGCATTGAGAAATAAGTCTAATTTTCTTTCATAGGCCAAACTGCTATCAAGAAAATTCTTCATGTTCTTCCTTGAATTTTATTATTTTTGGTAACTCTGCAAGCTTTAATTCATTTTTTTAAAATTCCACTGAAGTTTCTTGCTTGTGAAGTAGAGTGATAGTGATACTGCACTGGAATGTAAATTTACTAAGCAGGAACACAAAATGAATACAGTGCAGTCTCTACATGGGCAAGGCTTACATCAATGCATAATGTAAAAGTAATCGAAAAATTAGAAATGTTATGTAATTATTACAACTGCAATTATTTGTGGATGTATTAATTATCTGTAAAATAACTGAATGGAAGCAAAGATTAATGGTTATTCACACACATTGTTCATGTACATTTGAAACAGCTTTTTTCAAAAAAGGAAATTAATAATTTCCTGTTGATAATCTTTCCTCAATCCTAGAGGATTGTTTGGGGTTCAATAGTTAGCTTCCAGTAACTTAAATTAATAATTAAACTTTTTTCTGATCTTGACAACTAGGTAGAAGGATCTCTTTGCTTATTTATTTATTGTCTTACCTTTCACCTCTTGTAGCCAGCTTCCTGAAACTGGATTTTGAAACTGCTGTTTCCTGGAAAAGCCAGAATAGTATAAATATTTATTTTCTTGAAGCTTGTGAGACCATCAATTGTTTCAAAGAAGTGATGTAAAGCAAGCAGGAGAGATAATGAACATTAAGGTGAATGTGCCAATATAATGAATGAGAAAGTCCATCATGTTTCCCATGGGTGAACCAGGTGTCATGATGATGGGTCTAAAATGCTTGTGAAAATCTCTGCATAGTCAAAATATATTTCCTAGGTGCTTTTTTTTCACTGCACAGTTTACTATTTGACGTGTTTATAAAAAATAAGAAAGCCATCTAGGTGACCTTGGGCTACTCATTCTCTCTTACCTCAATTCACCTGATAAGGTTGTTGTGAGGAAAATTGGAGGAGGAAGGAGTATTAAGCATGTTTGTCACTTTGAGTTATTTATAAAAATAATAAAGGCAGGATAAAAATCTAAAAATTGAGGGTAATGTAAAGGTAATTGTCCTGATAAAATTTGGTCAAAACTTGAAATATAGTTATTCCTTTTTGCTATTATCAGTAATGTTGTATCATCATTTTTTTCCATTTATTTCTATTCTATCTTGTATTACCAATTCTTAGGTAATGATATTGCTTATTTGCATTTTCCATTACATTTTATTTTTATACATGCTTAATTATTTCAGTGGGATTTTTTTTACATTGGAATAAAAATGTTTCCATAAAATATTGAATATGTCACTGATCTATGTTACTTGTACATTGAGAATGTCCTGAGGGACTGGGGAATTTTGTGAAACTGATATAGGAATATAGGAAGGTCAGGAAACAGTAATAAGACTCAAGTTTCCATTGAATGAATATAGATACCATTAAATAAAGCCCTTTGTATTCTTTTATTTTGAGAAACATTATTTGTTTCTTTATATGCCGTTTTCTTAACGCTTTGTTAAGAGGTGCAGTGCCTCAGTGGCTTAATCAGCTCCAGCAGTTCAAATCCAAGCACTGTGTAGCTGGGTGAGCTCCTGTTACTCGCCTCAGCTTCTGTGAGCCTCACAGTTCAAAAGAATGTTCTATGCAAGTAGATAGATAGGTGCCAGTTTGATACAAAGATGAGCTGGTGATTTTTGAAAGAAGTCAGATTCCTGATGGCTCTGAATCTTTGTGGTTGCCCTGCCTGTTGGTGAGGCAATTCTGGGAAGGAAGGAGGCCTTGGGTAACTTTGCAGGAAGAGCCACTTGTCTTTCTCTCCGATGCAAAGCCATCTCGCCCCCCTCTGTGGGAGGAAATACACAAGTATGTCCTATGGTACATTTGGCAAGAATAACTACTATTCTGCAATAGCATTGTGGTCTCCTGGCTACTGTAAACATAGAATACAATAATTGCAATAACAATAACAACAATAATAATTTGTATTGCAATATTGGGTGATGCACGAATTAAAGAGAAACAGCTAGAAAAAATAACAAAATATGGTGATTTTCACATTGAAGTTGAGCAATTGTGGAGGAAGAAATCAATGGTTGTACCAACAGTAAGAAGGGCCCTTGGAGCAATGACCAGAGCTGTGGTAGCACAGTGGTTAGAATTCAGAATTTCAGGTTAATTCTGCTGATTGCCAGGGATTTGATCCTCACTGGCTCAAGGTTGTGTCAGCCTTCCATCCTTCTGGGGTTGGTAAAATGAGGACCCAGATTGTTGGGGGCAATATGCTGACTCTGAAAACTACTTAGAGAGGGATGTAAAGCACTGTGAAGGTTATATAAGTCTAAGTGCTATTGTTATTGGAGCAATATCCAAAGGGCTGGCTAGATACATAGACATTCTGAATTTATTAGATCTGAATATTCTGACTGCAAAAAACCACCTTACTTAGACCTGTCTTTATACTCAGATGTTAACTTAACAGCTCTTAGGTTCTTGGTTAGAACTTGAACAGTTAATTTTACCAGTTACAGACTGTGAATTGAATTGAATATTAAATCTTAAATAATAATAATAATGCTTTGCTCAATTCAGGTGTGTCATCATTTATCATCAAAATGTTAGTGTATAAAGGCTAATGTCAAAATACAGAACAATCATGAATAAAATGTTGTTTTATGTTGCTATTTTCCTTTATCCTGATATAATATAAATAAATGTTTTATCTTTCTGCCTGCTACTTTATAAGAATCTTGCCTATCATAAATAATATATTGTAATTATTTATAAGACAAAAAGGGTCAACATTTGTAGGTATTTTGTGACTTATGAAAATTTCCAGGTGTTTTTACATGCAAAGGTATTGTGGTTCCTAAATTGTATATACATTTATATTTATTGCAGGTGGGACAGCATCAAGACAGAAAGGATTTTTGGGATGCATTCGTTTTTTACAATTAAATGGCAAAGCTCTTGATTTGGAAGAAAGAGCCAAAGTAACCCCTGCTGTAAAGCCAGGTTGTCCTGGACATTGTAGCAGCTATGGTAACCTATGTCACAATGGAGGAAAATGCAAAGAGAAATATAATGGATTCTCTTGTGATTGCACTTTTTCTGCATACACAGGGCCATTCTGTAAGAAAGGCAAGCATAAATTGTAAATTTATTTTATATACAATAGAAAAGGAAATCATTGTTTATGTGTTGCATTTTTTTAAGATGTCCACTTCGGATTATACAGTTCTGTCTCACTGACAATATTTTTGTCTCCTTACGTGACAGCCTCTAGCAGAGTTTTTTTTATCAATGTCCCAATGGTGCTTTTTAAAAGAACAACTGGACTCTCTGATTCTCCCCACCATCCAGTCAGAGCTGAAGAAGCTTCTTGAATGAGAAGTGAAACGTCTTCAAAGAAAAAACAGAAACTCCAGTTGCCTCTTGAAAAAAATACCTTTGGGACAACCATGACCTGGATGACTGAGAATCTCCATAGACATTTTACTAATGTATAGATCCGAAATCACCCTTATTTCTGAAATGCTGCCAAATTAATATGTAATTTTTGTCTTTATGTTTTTGTTAAGTAATATATAATTTAATAAAGAATACTGGGAGTAGATAAAGAATACAAACACTATCTTCTACACTTTTGTCCTAAAATTACACCAGCAATCAAGAGGCAAACAATACCCCAATCACCAAACTACCAACTCAGGCCGAACAGAATGGAATCACAGAGTTGGAAGGGATCTTTGAGGTCATCTGGTCTAACCCCCTGCTCAAGCCCAAGGAACCACGTAGGCCACTTTCACTAATACAGGGAAAGCCATTAGTATAGAAAATGAGAAAAACCCTACATTCCCTACTGGCACTGATGGTGGTACCTAGTTTGGTAAGGAAACATATGCAAGAAAACAACCAAGCTCAGAGTCACCAAGGACCCCGCTATTTTAAAAGAAGTTAAACTAAAATAATCAAACCAATTACTTTGGGATGATAGAAAATAAAACATAGCTGTCATTAAGTACAAGACGAAAACAGTTCACATCATTAATCTATTCATAGTCTGGAAACTTACTTTCCTGAAGTTCTTGTTCCAAAGCATGCTGACAATATTGTTAATGCTTTTAAATAATATGTGTGCTTTACATTCTTATTTCTTAATGTTTAAATAATATTGATTATATTATTATTTCTTTTGGGAAACATTATTTTGGGATAAATGGCATACTTTATTTAATATATATATATAAATGCATGTTGTTTCAGAGATATCTGCATATTTTGGAGCTGGTTCATCAGTGACATATAACTTTCAAGAATCCTACAATGTTGCCAAGAACTCCAGTTCACATGCTGCTTCTTTTCATCCTGATATGACGCTAACCAGAGAAGCAATCACACTGAACTTTCGAACAACACGGATTCCAAGCTTACTTCTTTATGTGAATTCATTCTATAAGGAATATCTTTCAGTTATTCTTGCAAAAAATGGTATGTACTCTTCAAAGCTACCATTAGTTTTACTTTGGAAATTACATGTTTAACTCCATGAGATGTTTGACTTCACTATACTGATTATGTTACCTATTAAAGCTTTATGGTTGGTGGAAGGAAATATATAAATCACCCAGTGGTGGTATTCAACTGGTTCTGCCCGGTTCTGGAGAGCTGGTAGCGGCAATGAGCAGTGGAAGACCAAACCAGTTCTCTGCGCTGCTCTGTGTTCAGCCCACATGCCCACCCAGTCTCCCATACTCACTTTTATCAGCAGAATTCAAAATGCAGCTGCTTTGCGTGGCACAGAATAGCGCCGCACGGCAACTGCTGCAGCGACCACCATCGTGCAGGCTTTCAGGAGGCAAGTTAGAATGCCTCTGTGCCTGTGCAAAGTGTGCGTTTGGCGCACACATGCACGCAAAGTGTGTGCATGAGCGCAAAGCGCAGCCACCAAGCCACGCCTACCGAATCGGTGGCAACTTTGAATACCAACACTGAAATCACCCTAATATATAGTAAGATTAAATATAAATGATAGATCAGTTTTAATAGAGATCATCCATTCCTTTAAGAATGTCAATACTGTTAGCTACTAATTCTTTTTAGAAAGAACAATGCTGTGTTTTTTTTCAAGAAATAATAAAAGAATTAGTAGCAAAATATTGTTATTGCAAGCTACTTGCATGTAACTACTCTTTTTATTTTCTGTACTTTGAAGAATTGCTGTGGCCATTTATCAAAAGCATTGAAAAATTAATGTGCAATATATGAACTGTTATAATATTAAAACATAATTGCCAGTACTGCAAATTACTGCATGTTCAATATGAACGTTAGCGTAGTGGCATCAGTTCTTGAATTATTATATGAACAGAATACAATTAACAGAGATTTTACCAGCTAAGCACTTTTAAACTGAATAGGCTGCCTGATAAAATAGTATTTTTTTCAGCTGTCATTCACTCTTTATTTCCTTTGATGAAATAAATAAATAATACTGTCTCCTAATGTATTACGGTACGTATTTTTCACATCTACTTTTCCAGCTCAGTTTTATTATCTAGACAATATTTAAACTATTATTTTAGAAAAACTTTTTTTGTACATGTATTTGTGTGTATGTGTATTATCATGAAACTAATGTATTCTTTATTCCCTTAGGAAGTTTACAAATCAGATATAAGCTAGATAGCCATCAAGATCCTGATATCTTTAGCATCAATTTCAAAAGTTTGGCTGATGGGCAGCTTCATCGTGTAAAGATTAAAAGAGAGGAAGAAAAGCTATTTGTGGAGGTAATGCCAGAAAGAACAAAGGACCGGGATGTTACTAAAGAGGGAAAACATACAAGATAATTACATGTATCAGTTTAATAAATTCATGTAGCATATGCTCTTGCATGAATTGCAGAATATTTTTGCTATTTGTGCTTTATTTTATTTTCATATGTAAATCATTTTGTGATTTGTTGTGAAGAGCAATATAACATTTAAATAAAAATAACTAAATTGAAAATATAGCCCTAGTGCAGAGGTATCAAACTCACGTCATCATGGCAGCGTCACGTGACATATCAGCACATTTTTCTCCTTCACTAAAGCAGGGATGAGAGTGACCAGTGTGTGATGCATCTAGTCCACAGGGCGGGAGTTTGACAGCCCTGCCCCAATGGTATAGTGGTTAAGACATCAGGCTAGAAACCAGGAGATGGTAATTTCTTGTTTTAGAAATTTCTACCCTTAGGTACAAAGCCAGCTGAGTGACCTTTGACCAGTCACTTTATCTAAATCTAGGAAAGAGACAACAATAAACATCTCTAAAAAACAGCATCAATGAAACTGCAGGGACTAGTCCACGCAGTTGTCAGAATTTTTTTTTTAAATAAAATGTATGTTCATTCTCACATAAGTAAGAAATTTATATTTAGAAGGGAAACTGTGTCAATTATACTGAACTTAACAATGCATAAAAAGAAGCTACCGGGATGGATTAATTTAAAAAGGTGTTAGAAAGATGAATGCAAAGTTATATAGGAAACTATCACCTTCATTTTAATGAATGACACAATATTGTGGCTTTCTTCCCTTAATTTTCTGACACCAGTAACAGGCTTTTCTTTCATTTTTCCATTTCTTTTTCTCTTCACATAATTGTATGGTTAATACGGAAGGTTAACCAGCATGAAAGGATGAAATTCTTTCTGTCTTCAGATATTCAGTTCAATGCAATCAAGTCTCTCGTTCTTGGCAAGATACTTGGTAAGTATAGCGCAAAAGATAAAACGTCACCTGATATGTATATAGAGATAGAGATAGTTATAAAATAATAACCTTAATCTTGTTGAGAAACATTTCTTTTTCACATTTGATTAGGCAGAGAGTGACAATCAAGGTGGAAGCTTCATTCTTGTCAAAGTGCATATATAATCACTGGTAAGTGCTTCTAGCAAGATGAGCAAGTGGATTCCATTAAAAATAATTTCATCCTTATCTTTTCCATTTTGCAATCAGATATAATGAAACATGGCATTTTTAGTACAATTCTAGCAAAAAAAAAAGCTAACTCACATTCAAATTATAGGGAAAGACAATGAATGGGTTGATCCAACTCCAGGAATTCTTTCCTTTTGAACAATATGCTCTAGTGCAGTCTTTTTCAACCTTGGTAGCTTAAGGTGTGTGGACTTCAACTCCCAGAATTCCACAGTCGGTAAGGTTAAGAAATAATCTTCTAGAAAGTCAGAAAAGCTTTGTTTCTAACTGGATCAACCCATAGAGAGTTATCAAGAGATATGTGATACTGAAAGACACATGATGAAATCACAGTTATGGCACCCAAGTGTGTGGCATTCTATTCAGCCCAAATCGTCAATCATCTTTGTCTGATGTGAGAAAGACAATATGAGACTGCAGAAGAATGCAACAGTTAAGAAAAAATAAACCGGGTCTTGCACGTTTACTTGCTGCATGAAACATATCTAATCACACCTACAAGAGCATTAGTTATGTTCACTGCTTTGAGTTGACCAAACATTTTTTTAAAAAGGAGGGCAGGATAAAAATAAATCTAACAACAATAACAACAACAATAATACCTGTTAACTTCTTAATCTGCATTTTAAAGCTCAATGTATAGAACATATCAAACATGAACAACAAATAAAATCTCAGCTGACTTGTAAAATCAGACAATAAAATTAATGTTATGGAAATACTCAGCATTGGAAAATTTTATTGTTTTTGTTCTGTTGTTTTGGAATGAAGATATAAAAAAGCCATATCAAATCTTCTGTTTTTCTTTTTTTCAAAAGTGTATGAAATATTGGCTTTGATCTAGAGATCCGTTGGGTAGTACAGTATGTGCAGACAAAAAGTGATTTCTCCATCCCTGTCTCTTTATTTCCTCCTCTGAAAAGATGCTTCTGCAGTTCTGAATAAAATCTCTTCCTGAAGCAGAGAAGGGTAAAGACAAAAATTAATGCAGGCAATTTCTGGAGGCTGCCTTCCCATTTAAATAAGATCAATGTGCATGATTTTTTTTATTTTTTTGCAGTTTTCAAAGACTGAACATGTAAATAAATAAACAAACAAAACACTTGCTTTGTCTGTCATTATGGGAAATAAGGCATCTGTATTCAGTAAGTTTCATTATTTGTGCACCTTTCTGATCCCATCTGCTTACTTGCTTTCAGAGTTTGTATTGGTCTCAAACTTTCATTTTTATTTCAATGTGTCCATTGATTTAAATAGTAACACTTTCAAAGAAATGTGAGTAGAATTTTTGATCAGGGCATGTGACTAAGGATGTGTATGCATGTAAATGGTGCACAATAAAGTGGTGGGTGACCACAGATAGTAATATTCCTCTACTACTAGGAGAGTAATGCTTTCTTATGAATACCTAAAGCAGAAGAGTCAAACCTTGACAACTTTAAGACTTGTGGAATTCAGCCTCTGGAATTTCTCAGACAGCCATACTTAAAGTTGCAAAGGTTTGACACCCCTGACCTAAAGCATGTTTGACAAACATCATATAAGCTTGGTGTGATTTCTTGCTGGCCATCCTATCCTTTGGAATAGTGCCCCCATACACAATCCACATACCCATGATCCTGTTGTTATTTAGCCTTTTAAAATTGTTCTTTCACCAGCTTTCGGGTAAAGACATGTGTGAATCCATATTGATATTAGTGTTTTATTCAATGATTATATATGGTTGCATAATAATTATATAATATAATAATATAGATTGTCTATATGGCCATTACTGTGTTTTTCATCTGTGTCATGTTTAATACTGAACATTATTTAAAGCCATACATCAAGTTATAAGTTCATTTTTATTAGTTGCTCAAGAACCAAGGGGGGGATTTTAACAAGTAAATTGATAAGAATCTGGATTCTGCTGGAGATCTTTTAAATCAACGGTCACCAACATTCTGGGCTCTACAGACTGGCAGCAGTGGTGACAACTGGGGGGAGGGAATGGTTTTGAGCACGTGCCCATCACTTGTGTGGCTTGGTTCTCAATGGGCTGCAGATCAGCCCCGGTCCACACACCGGGGATTGGGGATCCCTGCTTTAAATGAAGAAGGAATCAGATCACAATAGCCAGATCAGAAGAGAAACAGTATAAGCACTGTTTTAAAGTATAGTGATCACTGGAATGGAATGGAATGGAATGGAATGGAATGGAAAGGAAAGGAAAGGAAAGGAAAGGAAAGGAAAGGAAAGGAA